AACTGCATTGTATATATGAGAAAAATAAAAAAAGAAAAATTTAAATAATTTTATGACGTTACAAACATGTAAAATGATCTAATATTATCAATAATATATTCACTATTATTTAAACTGTACAATTAGTAAAAGAGATTTGGGTAAATTTTATTTTTAATGATGAATTAATGATGATTAATGATGAATGATTCGTTTTTAGCATATTTTATATATAAAATTCAATAAATGTGTAAAGTAAGGGTTTTTACGTCTTTAATTATATAAGTAAATTATGTCCTCATCAGCATTAATAAAGTGCGGTGTTTAGTTTTTGAGAAATAAGGAAGTGTCGCTTTAGAGGACCTATGTCGATATAAGCGACTTACCTCTTCACTTCTAATAAAAATATAAAAAATGTATAGTTGTATTGTCGTGAAATAAAATAAATGCGCGCGCGTAGCGCGCGCCTGTTTTGTTCTATTCGTGAAATAAAATAAAAGCGCGCGCGTAGCGCGCGCCTGTGTTGTTCTAGTCCATAATAAAAAAAGTCATGTTTACCGAGAAGTGAGCTTTGCGAGTCGAATATCTCGCACGTAGTGTTGCCGCTTTTCCGCGTGCGTGATTGGCTGGCGCGGTCGAGATTGACGGCGATCGCGAGATCGCGGCGAGTTTGGCGAGTTTCGCGTGTGTTAAATTGTGCGACGTGACGTGTGTTCGCGTGGTGTCTCGCGAGGTTAGTAGGATTTTTTTTAATATGATGAATATATGTGTGTGTGATGATATTGGTAAATAAATATTATATTATAAATTATATTTTTTTAATATCTTTTAACGTTATCTTCAATGTTTTTTCAGCATAATAGAAGTCAATGACGTGTGTTCGCGTGGTGTCTCGCGAGGTTATAATAATAATACATGATATTATATATTAGTAGGTAAATAAATAAATATATATTATAAATTATATTTTACATTAACATTTTTTAACGTCATCTTTAACGTGTATAACGAGGTCAAGTGTAATTGCAGTATTTCGATATTGATTGACTGTCCGCATTGTGTGAAGATCTGTAGTTGTTACTGTTACATAAACTTTAGATTTTTGAGTACGAGTAATGAATATTGAAATATAGCTCATATATGAATTAATTGAACTTATTATTACAGATCGAGTTACATCGAGTGAGAGAGAGGGACAGAGAGAGAGAGAGGAGGAGAGAGAGAGAGAGAGATAGTTTCGTTTGTCCTTTTGAAGAGTATGTAAAGAGCTTTCAATGTCGTTTAGAAAACTTTATTAGGTACGTACGTTAGTATCAAAGTATAATTATTTCATATAGGTTATGTTTCGATATTTATTGTTTGCTCGTACAAATCTAAGATATACGTTACTGTAACTATATAGATTTTTAATACAGACAGTAAATTATATTTATCCTTATAATAATATATTTTATATATAAGCATATGTAAGTAATAATTATTGCTTTTGCATTATGTTGTAATGATGTTGGGTTACGTTCAATTAGTGGAAGTATTTTAATATTTATTATTACATACTTGCATTGTGTGAGAACTCTTTCATTGGCTGAACGTAACACAATAAAACTGCAACATAATGCATACACTGAATCAATGATTATATATTATAATATATTTCAATGATGAGAATTGTTTTTGTTTAAATAATTATTTGTGGATATAAGAAACTGAATTTTATGCGCATAATATATTATTTATCCTTGTTAGAGAGAAAAAAAATAAAAAGACTAATAAAAAAAGAGACTAAAAAAGACTAATAGACTAATAGAGAAAATAATATAACGTTTTGAATAAATTGTGATACACCGTTTGTTTCGATTCTGATCAGCTTTTTTTTTAGGCATATCTGATAAGTTAGTCAATGGGTGATACGAGATACAAGTAAAAATATTGTAATTGCCTACAAGCATCAGAAATCTAACGATTGATCATACGTCCTTTAGGATTATACGTAGAGATACTTTGGACGGCAGTGAAGATCGTGTTCGGGATTTATCGCCAAGAGGTGGTCATCAGGGAGGTGCCGGTAATTCAGGGTATATGAGTGGCAGACAAGGTCGTTTTCCAACCTTACGTAGAGATCGTAGATACGAATGTCGTCTTACTAATGATGACGAAGACACTGTTTACAGCTAGCTCTTAATGGTAAGCGGTAGCTTCAAGAAACAGTTTTTATTTTCGAATATACTTTTTACGTAATTTAGTGTCTTTTTTTCTTTTTTTTCCTTTTCTTTTAATTATTATATATATATTTTTTTTTACTTTTACTACAGTCTAAGCATACTATATTAAACTTTACGATTTGTAACAATTTGTAGTATGGTATATTTAAGTAAAATATTAAAATTATGTTTATATAACTGGCATGTAAATAAGATAATTTCTTTAACATAAAATAATACATGTAATATTTATACAGGGAAAAATAATCTTTAATCAAAGATTTGTTGGTCGTCCAATTTGTGATATATAAGTTTCGGTGAAGGAATTGAACTTAAAAGTCAGAAGTTATGATCTGCAATCACTCTGCAGTGCAGTAAGTCATACGATACTCGTAATATTGGTATTATATTGTTCATCCGACCAAATAACTTAATTTTGACAAATATTTAGGTATTAAAGATGAAGGAACACGAATGTAAAGAGATCACGTCAGCGAAAACTCCATCGCTCTTCAATATAATGGACAAAGTGCTAAATCTAATGCATGTGACGTTAAAAGAAGCAAAATACATTATGACTATAGTGATGGATCTCAATGTTATATCGCTCGCTCTTCAAATCATTTGTTTAGCAGGTAAATTCATTATATATTTCCCATTTTACTTATAAAATATAATAATGCAATTATAATTAAATTTTGCGAATTGAATGAATATAGGTAATATTTTATCAAGAACGCTATTAGGCGGAAGAGTGGAAAGAAACGAATATCTGTTGTTACATGCTTTTAATTTGAAAGATTACATAACGCTGGATAAGAAAATTGAAAAGAAAGGGCGAGGCGATGGTGAGATCTCAATATATTTTTATATATTGTCGTTATTACGAAACTAGATATATGTTAGATGGCTCGCGTAAAAAAAAAGCTGCGGCGTATGCTGGAGGCCTCGTACTTAATCCAAAGAAAGGTTTCTATGACAAGCTGGGACGGCTGATGGACTTCAATTTTTGGTATTGTACAAGATGTATTAATCCAAGTATTATACAAGAGTACAATTTGTGTTTTGCCATCGTGCCCAGTGCGGCGTATGTTGACGTCAAGGTAATTTTCTTATATGCAAACAATATCATAAAGTAAATATCTGGACTAAAACGTAATTTACACAGTGCAGCAATTAAATATTCTCGAGTTAAATCTGGACTCAGGTATGATCCCGACGGAGATTCACAAATTAGTCAAAAGCAGACAGCAGATCAAGCAACTCATAAAAGCGCCGAATTTATTGCCGGAACAGAAAATGGATTACCATATCAGGCAAATGGCATTAAACCTCACAGTCAATTCCATGTATGGATGCTTGGGGGCGATGCATTGTCGATTTTACGCTGAAGGTCTTGCCGCTCTGATAACATGTAAGACGCGAAATATTGTATATTTAAAACGCCGATAACATGAAGCATAATATATTATATAACACATTTTTTTTACATAGGGCTTTAGCCTAGGAGGAGGACGAGGATAAAGCGAAAAGGAAGGAGCAATGTAAAGAACGCAAAGAAAAAGAACGATAAAAGAAACGTGACGAAGATGATAGCAAAGGAAAGTGGGAAACCGTTAAAAGCGGCGTGGCTATTCCCTCCGAGAAACCGAAGATGTAATATATATAGGTATATACGTATTATGGGGTGAGAGAGAGAGAGAAACTTTATCTTGAACAAAATTGTTTAAAGAGATGTGCAATGTAAAATTTTCCTTATTTTAGATATATCGATGAATTTAATGTTCGAGAAGATCAAATGGGACTAGCTATTGGTGCTTATAATACAAATATTCAACAAGAGTAGAAAGTTGGTGATATTACAAATATAGAGTTCGAAGAAAATTCATGTACATTTAAGATATATGGAGAGGTAATAATAAAAATTATTATCGTTTCAAGAATATTGAACATTTCACAATTTAATGTTTATATTAAATACATATTTTATATTAATTTATGAAACAGCGTATATATGATAGTTACATGTCCATAAGTGTGTTCTGTTTCACGCATGATGCGCATAATACATCATTTATCCATGTTTAATATTCGGTAAACAATTAGCTATTATTATTAATATAAAAAAGTGTACAAATTAGAAATTTGCATATTGCTTCCTCACCATTTTAAAATGTATAGATTAGAAATTTATACATTGCATCATCATTTTATTTCGCTCTCTTATAAAGCTCTTCTATTGAGGAAGCTTATATTTTATTTGATACATAATTATTAATATTTATTAATTTGACTTCTTCATAAAGGAAGCTTTATGAGTAAAATAAAATGATGAAGCAATGTTCAAATTTCTAATTTGTACACTTTAAAATTGTGAGAAAGCAGTAAATTTATAATTTGCAAACTTTTTTATTATATTGGCAATTTTTTCTAATTTTATTATATTCTTCAGTCTTTTTATCTCTATTTCATATATACTGCTTATTGCATATTCATTATTTTCTTAGCTCCTCACGATTCGGAATGTTTGATTTGCGTGAGTTCCCTTGCCTCTCACGATTCGGAGATGAATGTGCCCAAGCCTTTAATCTTGGCCGTGTCGAGCTCGTCAGAGTATTAGGAATCGGTGCCACATGACAGAAGAAGAAATCAATTGTAATGCCATATGAAGAAAATAT